ACTCACTTGGTAGCCCAGGCTGGCCTCAAACTCACAGAGATCCGTCTGCCTCTGCCTCCCAAGTGCTGGAATTAAAGGCGTGTGCCACCACAGCCTGGCTGTTTTACTCTCATAAGGCTCTCAGGATTCATCCATGTGGCACCATAGGTCAGAATGTCCATCTTTCTAAGGACTGAGTAAATATTCCATCACACAGCTGTGTATGCCACATCACACCTGCTCATTCGTCTGCCAAAGGACACTTGGGTTGCTTCCATGGTTTAGCTACTGTTAATAACTCAGTTATCAATAATGGTGTCCCAGTCTCTACTCAAGCCCCTCACTGAAACTCTTTGGAGTATGTATCCAGAAATGGAATTCCTGGCTTACACGGTAGTTATATTAAGTCTTTTGAGGATCCACACCATATTGTTTTCTTTTGGGGGAATGGTGGTGCAGGGTCTGGCCTCGAACTCACAGAGATTCCCTCTGCCTCTTCCTGGATCAAGGAATTAAAGAATATGCAACGCTAGCATGTGCCACCAAGTATTTTGCCTGCATGTGTCTATGTGTGCCATGCACGTACCTGCTGCCCAAGGAGGCCAGAAAAGGGTCCCAGATCACTTGGAATTGAGTTGTGAATCAATACCGGTGCTGAGAACCCAACCCCAGTCACCCAGAAGATCAGCAAGAGCTCTAAACCACAGAGCCATCTCTCCAACCCTGCTTCCTTATCAGATTTTTAACCCCCTTAGCACTCCCTGAAGAAGGCTGCTTTGGAATAATCACAAAAGATGTACATGGAGAACAAGAAAACACAGAAAAACTCCAGCGTCTCCCCAAATAAATACTTTTGGTTCCTGCACAGTGAAAGTGAATTTGTGAGTTACTGTGATAGCAACTTTCACGAGTGGACCATTGTGGCCCTCAGCCTTCATAATGAATGGGTGATGGCGCCCGTGAGAGCATGCACTCAAGCTCAGGAGTGTGGGTGTGTGGACGGCGGGGCTCACCTGGGCTGGTGGAGCCTCCTCACTAAGGCGTCTTTGGAGACCTCTGGTTTAGTATCAGTTTTAAAGGACGGCTGACCTCGATTGACCTAACTTCGCTTCTTCTCCCAAGTCCATTCTGGCTTTTGCTTCCCCTGGATCCAACCCCTTGGTTTACAGGTCGTCTCCAAATGGCAAGCCCACACTTGGAAAGCATGCATCACCGCGGTCCCCTGGAAGATGAGGGGGTTACCGAGCCGGTTAGGGACAAAGGTGGGTCTCCAGAGGCCTCTGGGGGTTCTCACTAATGACTCACTTTTCAAAAGTGAGAGTCAGGGTGAGGTAAATGAGGAAGGCAGCAGGAGGGGATTCTCAAAGCAAACCACCCAGGAATGCATTGCATTTGTAAGAAGTTGGGCCTCAACCCTGCGCCTCCACGCTTTGTCTGGGTCCCCCAGCAACCCCTTCCGTGCCACCCCAGCTAGTATTGACCGTCTGTCTCCCTCTCTTCCCAGCACAGTCGCCTGGCGTCCTGGCTTCGGGGGAGAGAGACCAGATCTTGGGATCAAGAGGCCAGGCGAGCGCTGCCCAGGACCCCAGGTTCAGTGCCAGCCCTAATCCCAGGGTCCAAGGTCCAGAGCTAGCGGGACCGGGCCAGAGCCGCCTGTGTGGAGCTGTCCAGCACCCCGAGGCGGGGCGTGTGCCCCCCGGCCCGCCCCAGCCGCCTCCGCCCGCCCGCCC